AGCCAGCTGCTGTGATCCCTTGACGTAACCCTTGTAGCCAGCTACTGCACCTGACCCGCACTCTGTACAGGGCAGAGGTGAAGCATCTCTCGGAGGTGCCTGTTTCCGGTCCCAGTGTAACCTTTCTGATATTCCCTCCTCCTGCCTTTTGGGCCCCAGATTTTACAAAGCCTTCTTTCCTGCTCTAGGGTCATTATGTATTGTCAGAAAGTCAACCGGAATTGGAAGAAAAGCAAAGTTCCGCTCTCCCCAGTGGAGTCCAGGTTCAGCCTCCCGCACACAGTGACTCCCTGGAGCCCCAGCCCGGCGGCCAGCAGCAGCCCATGCAGTACATCATCACGACCACCACCAGCGGGAGCGGGAGCAGCGACGTCCACATCGGGAAACCGTAGCTGTACTCCCAGAGCCAACGTCAGCGCTCCTGTCCTGTCTTCTTCTTTTACGAGTCTGAAGCTTCTAACACTTTCAACTCTTTTAAAAAATTCATTATTCACTCAAGAGTTTGGAAACTATGGTTTAGACCCCCATACACCCAGTGGGGTTCGTTTTCTGAGGCCACCTTTACCAGACTGACTTCGTACCCCAGGGTTTCTGCCACAGGATGGAAATCTTTCAGGGGAAGGTAGATAGATTTTAGGATGGGGAAACTTTGCTTTGCTCTTGAGTTGGTTTTTTCACTCACTAATAAGCCTTACTTTCCCTCTGTGGAATCCTAAGGGGTATATTGTGTTCATACCAAAGGTGGGGAGGGGCTTCAGAGACCTGGCCCTGGCACCAAGGCAGAAGGGGCATTTCAGAGGTGTGATTTAGGTGGGCACTGTTACCTTGTGAGTTTGAAGAGTTTACTGGATAAGAAAAGACACAGTGATGAGACATTTGACAGTGGTGTTCTGAAGGAAATATTGGCATTTGAAAATTTCAGATTGTTGATTTTTTTTTTTTTTTAGATAGAGGTTTTACTGTGTTGCCCCCACTGACCCAGAACTTTCGGACTTAAGGAATCCTGTTTCAGCCTCCCAAGCAGCTGGGATTATAATGTTGCCACGCTGAGTTTTAAAAATCTTCTTTGTTTTGGAAAACTGTTGATGGGCAGTCAGCAGTGCTTGGCACAGGTGCTGGCCCTCAGCAGACTGGGCAGATCCCATGTTCTGACAGTTCTTGCTTTATTACTCCTTACGGGTGGATGCCCCCAAAGAGAAAAGGTGACGTCAGCCGAACTGAAACCTCTCCATGAAAGCTTTTCCTCCTATTCTCTGATTGTAGTTGTGTTCAGAAGGAAACATTTGTGTACACACACACCGTTAGAAGGTACCTACCGTGTCCTGTTCATGCTTACCAACTGCATCCTTACCTGCTCCCCCTTTGTGTGTGCGCATGTGTGCGCGCGCACGATTGATTGCACATATTAGATGGTGGGGATGGAAACCAGGCCTCACACGTGCGCCGCCACTGAGCTGGAACTCCAGCCCTTCCATTAGTTCTCACCTGCAGCCTTCAGTGTATTTCAGTACTTTTCATGCTGCCTTAAAATGAACATTCTTTAAAGTGTGATGGAAAGGCGGCCTTCCTTATTTCTACACTTTCAACTTTAAACATATTGTAACTTATCTGGACCTTTTTGGAAGATGACCAACATCATACTTGGGGGAAGTGTGGGGACCGTTGACAGTACATCAGAGGGTCTGCAAGCTCTCTAGTCTTTGGGGACGCTGCAGTGTAAGCTGGGAGAGGAGAACATCTGCTGTGCCCGATAGTTTGTCCTGTATGTGTTTCTGTTTAGGAGTCTTGTTTGCTATGAATTCAGTGGGGAAAATACTTCCCTTCTTTTTACTGTGCATTCCAGTTGTACAAATTGTATACACAGAAAACATTTCAAAAGTCAGTCAGTCATAGTTAAAACCTTTTTATGACAAGAATTTTTAGAATAATTAACGTATAGTGAGTTTATCACTGCGTGTCAAAAAGACTTAAGTTCATTTCAAATGAAGGTAACATTTAACTTTCTGAGTAGAAACTGGTTCTATGAATTAAGAACTCTACTAGCTTCTTTAGGATAAAGATACTACTCTGAAAAGGAAACAGTTCTTTTGGAATAACTTACTAATACGTAGATCTTGCACTTTATTTTTGAGACCTCATTTATATAGTGACCTCTGGAAATTTGGGCACTAAGAGAACTTGAAAAAGTTACCTCAGAAGTGCAGAAACTGAAAACGGACCTATACCTTTGGTGACAAAGAGGTGACATCAATATTTTCACTAGAAAATACTGGCCCTGAGTTACAACGCAAATGGTGGTCCCGCAGGTCCCACAAAGTATTGATTGTAAATAACCTAGTGTCCAGTTGAGGCAGACTTGGCAGGTTGAAGGACACTAGACATTCTCAAGGGTCCAGTTTTTGTTTTTATAACTTAAATTTGACCCTGTTGGGTTCTTTTTAATTTGAACCAGCAAGGATTCTTCCCCTCTTCTCAGGAATAATTTATTGATTAAAATCAAAATCTATCTCTGAGTGGAATGTTCGTTTTATGCCAGTGATTTCAAGTTTGAGATTACACAGAGGGAAATACTGAGGACAGAGTGTGTTGCTCCCTTGTAAGTGTTTGTCTTCTTTGGTCTCATGTGGAATCAATGAAGACTCTAAAGGTAACTTAATATCGCCAGTGAGAGACATGGTGGTCTTCTAGCCCAGTCACACCACGATAGGATCAGGGACTGTGCATGTTTGTTCCAAGGCAAGGGATTTTCCGAAGGACTTGGATTGAGTAGATGGCAGATTATCATCCCTCTGAAGACCCAATTTTGCAAACACCTACAGCCAGTGTTTCTATTATGGCCTCTGCCAAGACACATTGACACTACTGACTTCACTCAGTGCAATGTGAATGGTTTGGAGTGGGTTGGAGCTAGACTTCATATTCTTATTGTTTGATTTGTGCCCAGAGAAACAGACATTTCATCATGTAAAATTCCTGTTTTCCTGGAAAATTTTTTCTTTCGATGTCTTTGAATTATTTTCTGGAATTATTCTTTCAAAAAACTCTTAAGATATCTAAGACTTAAAAAAAAAAAAAAAAAAAAAAAAAGCACTTCATGAGATGCTAAAACTCACCCATTGGTTGAAAATGTTAACCCTATCCTGTTATTTAAATGTGAACATTTATTGTACATTCAGTGAGTTATAGTGTTAATAGTCTTGTGCTACCCAGCAGGTGTAAAAATCAATAAATATTTTTTTTAATATATTTCTTGTTCATGTATATGAAGCTACAAGATCTAATGAAATGGTTAAACATTTTCCTTTTATAGATTACATCTTCCCCCCATCCCACAGTACTGGGGATTAAACCCAGAGCCTTAACATTAAGCTACATCCCCAGCCCTTTTAATTTTTTATCTTGAGACAGGTCTTGCTGATTGCCCTGTGGAGGACCGATGAGAGGGCTCCCCTGAAAGAAGGCAGTTTGCTTCCCTTTTGGCTCACCTTTGCCCTAGTTCTGTGTACAGAGCTGATACACTAAGTATAGAGCTGGCTAGGGAATACTCTGACTCCTCAACTAGCTTTGTGCAGTGCACGTGGTTCCAGCGGAGGTGCCAGGAGCCCATGTGCAGCCTTTGAGGCAAAGTGATGTTCTGTGTGCAGTCCTGCCTATAGGCCCTTCTTCCTAAGAATGAGGGCCCCTGGGATTGAGCTTCCAGAAAGGGAGAGGGGGCCAGGGATGGAGAGGCTTAAGTGCCTGTCTGGCAAACACAAGGTCCAGAGTTTGATCCCTGGTACCAAAAAAACTCCAAACAAACCAAACAGAAATGAGTAAGGTCTCTCTCAAGGGAATAAAAGCCAGAGAGCAGAGCTGAAGCAGCAGACCCAAAATGTGAGATACTTCTCAAACTGTTATGCAGATTCCTACAAACTCAGAGGCTACCTGTTATTAGAATCTGCTACTCATACATTTTCCTGCATATTGCAGAAGTGCCAGGTGCCGCCAGCTCACAGTACTCACTGAGTTCCCATCATCCTCAATCTCTCAACCCTAAGCCACTCCCCTCTTCACAAATTAATAAAACCTAGATTTGGCCCTCAGGCAGGCTTTTGATCTAGTTAGTCTTTGTTCTGTTTTAGGACCCCTTGGCTCCCCACAACTGCAGGTGCGTTTCTGTCTATTCTTGACATGGGTTGCATTAGAAGTGATAGATTACAATTTTCTTGTAAGGATTCCAATAAATTTCCCCTGAGATTACAATTTATAAACTTCAGGCCACTGTGAGGTCTGGAGATGCCTAAAGCCCGAGGCACAAACTTGTGATCCTTGTGCCTCAGCCTCCCAAAGTGCTTTGATGATAGGCGTGTACCACCACATTTGGCTAACGACTGCTGTTTAATTCTTTGTTTCCAGTTTGACATTTAAGAAGCTCCAGCCTACAAATAAGAAAACTGAACAAACTAAAAAAATCATGTCTAGGGCCAGCCAAATAGCTCAGCGGATTAACATGCAGGGGCTGGGGGTTCAATCCTCAGGCCTGCGGTGCCAACCCCACCCCTGCACTGAGATGGCAATTGAGACTGGGCATGGTGGCACACACCTGTAATCCCAGCTTTTGGGAGGCTGTAAATGGATGGATCACTATCTCACTCTGATCTGATAGTGAGATCCTGAACACCCTGTAGATCCTTCCCTAAAAAAAAAAAAAAAAAAATTAAGACTTAAACCCACTAGAGAAATGAAGCTCCAAGCAAACTGCTGCCCTCCAATTGGAGAGACTGAGCAGAAACCTCTAAAGGAACAGTGGCAGGGCAGGAAACCCTGGACTGTACCGGATGAAGTGCTGAAGGCTCAGTATGAACAGGTCTCAGTCATGAAAACCTCAGTGGGGACGGAGTCATGGAGACGAGTTTTTTCTGAGTTTTACCAAGTTTTCACAATGTCGTTGGAGAAAAATCCCCTTTGCCTGGAAGAGAGAGGGGAAAGATAGCCATTTTGCATACAGTGCCAGAGCACTGTGTTTCTTAAAGACTGGTCCTTGGAGAAACTGATTTCCAGAGCCTAACACACAGGGCTTTTATCTGAGCCTAAATGATCTGGGAGAAGGGATATATCCAACTGCAGCTATGTATAGCCGTCCTTTCCCATTTAAGGGGGAGAAAACTGGGAAGCATTGGTGAAGGTATTGTCTAAAGATGGGGTCACAGAAGTCCAGGCTAGGGCAACAAAACATTTCCTTCCCCCACACTTAAAACCATCTTATTAGAACCATCTAAAGGCCTACTTCGCTACATTCTTTGCAACATGTACTTCATGTGCATCTATTAAAAAATAGAAAAAATTACAAGGTATACCAGAAGACCAAAACACCAGTTTAAAGAGAGACAGGGCAAATATCAGCTAAGGTATCAGAAAGATGGTGCAATGACCAAGCAAGTTGTTGCAGTCACTTGTGACAACCCTAACAAAACAAAAGATCACCAGATCCATAGCCTTATGCAAAGGTTTATAAACTACTACAAGGAGATCTCCCTGTTAATTAGAAAATTCAACCTTTACCAGAACCATCTTTTTATTCTTGTGGTCAAGGGTTATTGTTTCAATATTTTAGGTAATGTCCATTTTGACCTTTAAAAACTCTCTTCTCCTTTGCTGATGTCAAATTTGTAGCCTAGTATTTGAAGGGAAAATAAAGCACTTCTGCCTAAAAAAGGAAACAAACTTTCTCTTGCCTCAACCTCTTTGAATACACTTATAGTTGATTTT